AGAAAAGAAAGAATCAGAATAATAGCCGGGCCATAGCCATAGCTAGTTAGAAGTGAAGTTAGAAGCTAGGAGTCAGGAGTCAGGAGTAGTAAGTAGTAGCCATTGAATCAGTTGGTGCTACACTGATTCTCGCCAAACCACTGTCGGTAGAATTTCTCGCTGGATTTTATTGAGACCTAGCTCCGCGCGGGTCTTGTCGAAACACAGCCGCATTTGCCCTGCTGCCTCAGGAGCCAACCCAAAGACAAGCGCAGTGTTCGCATGAAAAACAGTGGGTTTCATCAATTGTCCATTTGCTTCAATGTACAGTTAAATAAGATGACAAAAGCTCCTTGCACTTTGGTGCCTTTTGGCCTCTCCTGCTGCAGTCTAGCTGATTGAAACACAGTGCTTACCTGCCAGCTTGGCAAAAGGTGACATTGAAGCACGCAGCATAGGCCACGCAGCACAGGATCGCCATGTCACATAGGAGATTTGAGGGTTGAGGAAAACAGACTGCCCTTCTATTCTTGGTCAGTCAGTCATCACATCACCCAACACCTGCAGCCTCTCAAACAGTGACCACACCACCACATAGATAGAAACACGCGCAATTAAAATACTGTATATTCATACTGTCGTAATGAAAGCGGACGTGCAGCGGCAATAAGTAGTCAGATCATAACGTAACGCTGGAACACTGACCACCAGTAGCGTAACTCTCTAACTGACTGGTTTCACTATTCGTGGACACGGAGAGTACTTGCAGTCTACGGTCTGTACGTCTGTACGTCTGTGACTTCGTCGACAGTCAAAGTCACACAGTGGTTTTCACTGCGAGGGATGAGCAATTCTTTACTGCAGAGCTCCCAGAAACTGCAGTGCGGGCAAAATGGCGAATTCCGGCCCAGTCCCTGTGACCACTTTCTGGTGAACCCTACTTTTGCTTCTTCCTTCCCGGCTTCTCAGTCTGATCCTGAGCCTCAGTCTTGTCAGACTTCTTCTGCTGCTTGGATTTCGCCTTTGCCTTTGCGGCTGCAGTCTTGGTGTCATCCACCTTCGCCTTCGCCTCCTTTGCGAAAAAAAATCAAATCTCAAGAAAAAAAGAATTCAAATCTCAAGAACTGTCGTTGTCGGCTACTTTTTAGGCTTTATTTATGCTTCTGCGATGTTCATGAAAGCTGCGTACCTTGTACAGCTTATCCATGCGAGCATTGATCTCTGCTGGAAGGTCTTTCTTCATCACGCCCATAAACTGGGCTGCGTAACTTTTGAGTTCAGGGATATCCTCAACCAGCTTGGCGTAGAAATCTTCATCCTCGTCACTGTTTTCCCGCATCAAGATTTCCGAGGCCAAAATCGAAAACGCTGCAACCCCAAACTTCTTGTGGGTGGGCTCTGTCTTGAACGCATCGAGCAAAGCACCAAAAGGAGTGTCCAAGGTGTTGATCTTGACCAAATCGAGCTTGAAATCGAAAAAGATCTGGGCTGTCTGCTCAAGATCCTGGATATGTTTAACTCCTGAGCGAAGCGCAACATACAATGTATTTGTATATGAATGCGCGTACAGTATCTGGGCTGACAAACACGGTGCATCCCAGCTCGTTAAAAGAACTTTTGTGGTTTTCGCTAGATGTACACTGGACCCCCGACCCTATCCTGCAATCGATTTCTTCGAAATGCCCTCGCCATCATCTGTGTCGTAGATTTTGAGAATCCGGACGGTTTCCTCATCGTTTTTCTCCACCAAGGCTTTCTCCACGTCGGACCAATCCGAGAAGATTTTCTGGTGCTGGGACTTGGCCGCCAAAAGCTTTTCCGCGAGCTTGCGGAGAGCTTCCCCACACTTACCAGACAGCAAAAGCTTGGCCTCTGGAATGCCGGCCTTGATGAGAGCTTTGGTGTCCCATTCTTTGGTAATGTAAGCTGGCTTTTTATCGTCAGGCTGCTCAATCTCCACAGCCACTGCCAAAGCCCGCAATAGACACCCCACTTCTGGCCCGAGCGATGATTGCATAGATGCATCTAAGTCAACCAATTCATCCTTCTTCCCACTACTGATCAGTTGCTTGCACCAAGCTTGGGGCAATGATGAAGGCTTTGCCAAGGCCTCCAGCGCCGCCACAACATTCCGGAACTCGATGGGCACATCAATCTTGGAACCTGGTGGGAAATGAAAACAAAACAAAGTGGGCACGTCGCCACCACTAGTCTGGAACCAGTCTACCAGTCTAGTCTAGTCTAGACAGTCTAGCAGCCTATAGCCAAAAGCCTATCCTAAACCAGTCGACAGTCCACAGTCTACCGTCTACCAGACACACAACAAGTATCAATGAAGAACAGGGCCTGCACACTCAACCAAGAATTCTTCCACTGGGCGGAGGTTCTTGGGAGGTAGACACACAACAAGTATCAATGAAGAACAGGGCCTGCACACTCAACCAAGAATTCTTCCACTGGGCGGAGGTTCTTGGGGTTGGAATTGACGCCCAAAGCCTTTGCAGCTGCCACGAATGACTCCACGGACAAATTCTTCTCAGCATGCCCCACCAGCTTCCCAGTATTGGCGGCGTTGAATACCAATTGCCCTGCGCACTCTGCAAAATTATCCCGAATGTTTGCCCAATTGGCCACCTGGCCGCAAATTGCCGCACACACAAACAACAAGAATGCAAGCCCAATATTTTATCGCTTGTCCCGCGTTCCAAATACAGCATATCAATCATATCAATATCAATATCAAATCATATCAAATCGAACATGAAAGCAACACAACACATCCTTGCCTTGCAAGAAGTCATCACCTTGCACAAGTTCCTGAAAAGGCTGGGAGAGAGTTCCATCAAAGACGCCACCATGTCGATGTCTCCGGAACTCACAGACTTGTGCTCACCTTTCAAAAGGTAGGTGATATCATTCATGGCGGCAGCTCCAAGCTTCAACACCGCGTCTGAGACCACGCCCAGCTTTTTCGAAAGCTCCTTCACAGCTGGCACATTCTCCAACTCTGCAGCATCAATCGAATCGAACGACTCAGAGCAAATTTGCCCTTTCAGAACGGCATCGGTAAACTCTGCTTTTGCTACTTCGGACAAAAGGCCGCCAGCAGTAGTCAGAATTTGCTCAAGATCTGAATCTCCGAACCCTTTCAATGCCGCTTCACACTCTGTAGCGATAGAATTGGCTGAATGACAGCACTTGGCCGCTGCTTCCAAGTATCCCCAAAGGGTCCTTGGTACGGTAGGGTAATATTTCCAATCAAACATAAATAACATATTTCATATGTCATATTTCAATATGTCACGCACGATCATCCGATCAGAACCATGCAGATCAGTCCGTCAAACTACTCCGAAAAAAAACACGAAAAACTACTTCTGCGTGGTTCAGGAACTTCCCCATTCCCATGCGCATGTGTGTCATGAACTTGTCCGCAATCACGCTCCTGAGTTCCAGGACCTTCTTGGCTGCCATATTCTCACGAGGAGTCCCTCCATAGCACTTGCTCCCCTCCTTCATGGCCGCAAATTGGAACACTGCTCAGAGTCATGCTGTTACAACATTTCAAAACCATGAGTTTAGATTGCCAAGATTGCTGAGCACAAATTACATATTCAGATTCATCATACATTATTCTGGCCATTCCGGCCATGTGTCATGTCATGATTTCACTCCCTGGCCCAGTCCATCTTCCAGTTCGAAGTGAGGACTTCAAGAACGCTCGCGTGGAAGCGCATGCTCATAGCAAAATGCTCTGGTCGCTCCTCCTCCAAGGCTGTTGGATCAAACCCTGTCTTCAAC